CAGGAATTAAGTTTTTAAAATTAATAATGGCTCCAAACAATCTTCCTAAATATTGTCTGTTATTTTACAACCCCAATCTTCAGCTCAATCAGGTAGACTTTTCCTGGCTTACTGCTCAGGTCCATACTGGCCCTAACTCTGTGCCCTTTTTTGTATTTTCCTCAGTCATATGCATTTTTTCTGACTATCCAAATCACATACAATCTCTAATGTCCAAGTGAAATGCAGCTTTCTTCAAGAAGCCTTACCTGGGCATTTCAATACTACATGATCTCTTGTTACTGAATACTCTTGTAATTATTCAGCATATCTATATATTATATACCATAAGGCTGCAGTCCCCATGGTATTGTTCTGTGGCCTATTAGGAAAACAGGGCCAGGAATCACTGCCTGAGCTCTGCCTACCCACATCTCCCCTCCACAGACTCATGGAAAAATTCCTTCCATGAAACTGGTCCTTGGTATCAAAAAGGTTGGGGACTGCTGCCATAAAATATAGCACTTACCTGTCTTGTCTTATACTATTTTTTAGGGTTTTCCATGTGTATTATCTATCCATATAGACTGTAAATTTCTTGAAGACAGGGTTATATCTTAAACAGGATACACCCTGACAAATACATAGTATTTTATCCCCCACCTCCAACTACTCTAACCTAATCTCTAGTTATTTCAAATGTGAATACATGTGCTGCCTAATGGTTAATTATTGCATGGATACAACTCAGTAACTGACATACAAAATGTTTAAGAAAATCAAATAATGAGTGGACTAAATCATTATTTTTGTTTGAAATCAAAGAGTTATTGTTAAAAATGAATGAACATAAATAATTTTGGTGCAATGACTTAAAGGTTTAAAACTATGTGATAAATGTATTATAGTTGTGTAATTAAAATAACGAAAAAAAAAAGAAAAGCCGTCCTCATGTGAAAGCTTCTTTCCTCTAAGTTAGCAACTTCCTTTTGAGTTAGGATTATTCTAGAACTGAAAAAAAAAAAATTATGTAATCACATATTGAAAGGTTCTGTGGTTAAGAGGTACATATGAAATAAATCATCCATGGCAACTATCTACCAGGGTAATACATAATACTCTGAGAAGAACATGCTCGGATGACTATGTTGTCGGTCTTTTCAGATGCAAGAAAAAAATATTCAACTCAACTAATACCGATTGAGGCTTTATTATGTGCTGGGCATTCCATATCCTCAAAAAGAGTTGGTAAAGCAAGTATAAATATGGTAGAAATCAGGATAAATTTTTTGTAGTTATTATTACAGAAACAACATATTTGTGTAATGTTACATATTTGGTGTTATATTTTGGATAGGTATGTGTTTTCCAGGTGTTTTTAATCTTGGTGAAATATATTCTAAACAGAAGCACAGAAACTACTTTTCATTTATTCAATACTTTCTGGTAAGACTTTATCCTAAACTTGATGTTCTGAACTTCTTATTTGCCCATTTGTGCCACCTGCCCAATAGATGGCAGCAACACTGAGTTCAGTTGTAAGTATGAACAGTAGAGATGTTGCTTTGTGGTACTTTAATATGCGGTCTCCAGGATTCCACTGGAATATTTATTTACAATGGTCGTCTGTTTTAACAGCAAGCTTCCTTTTCACACAATTTATTGTCAAAAGCAGATTAAAGGTCTAAAGATCAGAAAGCTACACTAAGCCCTTTTCTGAGTCATAGATTCCTTTTCTAAAGAGGCATTCTGGACTAGATGACCTCCAAGATCCTCTTCACCTCTGATCCTTAATGAAACTTTTGACCCCTGCCCAGCAATCAGAATTGCCCTCTACTCCCCTACTGATGCCTTCTTAGCCTCTGCTTCCTCCCCCTGTCATCTTAGGCAGCATCATGACCATCATCCTTCTGTAATCTGATCATTTAGCCTCTTTTTTTTTT